CTCTCTTATTCTTTGCAAAAACAAAACGAAAAGGGAATCAATTCCCTGAGCTGTGCTTCTACACTAGGCAAAAGTGTGTACTGCTCTCTTTGCATGCCTACAACTCCTACGAACATTAATGGGAGGCATATATGTGCATCTGAAGAGTAAATGCCCTTCAGACTGCATGACAGAGTCCTAGTGAAGTAGTTGGAAAAACCCCGTCACTGCACATGTAGTCACACTTTCCCTCCCTGACAGGAAGCCCCACCAGCAGCACTTTCCTATCCCCGCCCACTGCAAGGCCATTTCATCAGCCCCCAGTGCGCATAACCTGCTGGGTTGCCTCTCAGTAAGATAACATCTTGTTATATTCAGGGGTCTCCCAAATGGCTCCATCTCTGAGCATTTCTAGAATACTTCTCCTATGATACCCACAAAATTTGGACATATTGCTATACAAATATTATTTCTCACCACCCCCAGCTTCATCAAAGTGTGGCCCTTCCCACAGTAAAAAGCCAAATCATATTCAAATTCCAAGCAAAGGAGAACAGAGAGGAATATAGCCCACCTTAAAACTCTGACCACCTTTCTTTAAAAACAGACTATTCTATTTTTGTGTACAGATGCAGATTCCAAAACCGCCTCCTAAAAATAACTTCAGAACTACTAGATCCACACTGAACTACTACCAGTGAGGCTGACCCCACAGAGCAACATTCATAGGACACTATATCCCAGGAAAAAGAAAAATGAGATCCCAATAAACCAGGAGCAGCCCTCCAGTGCTATGGAAAGAGACTGTTTCATAGCAAGGCCAGAGGTATTAAAACAATGAGCCAAAATGTTAGATACTTTCAAGAAAAAAACATGAAGCATATCTGTCAGCGTAGTCCAGAAGGCAAAGCAGGGACACAGCGTTGGCAGGAGCCCTGATTCCTGACCAAACCCTTCTCTACACAATGCCTCCTGAAAGAAAGGAACCCAGGGCGTGAGCCAGCCTGACGCTGGCGGACAGACAGGGCCGGCCTTGCAGGATGTCAGAGCGCCAGGCGGCCGCCAGAGATACTAGAGTTTCACACACTCCCAGCCTGACTGTTTTGCTCTTCAAGTAATTAAACAAGGAAGCAGGGCTGCTGGGTATGAGCCTGACCCCGAAGCCTGGGCTCGAGGGTTCTGCATATCAGCTTCCGCAAGAACTGCCCTGAGCATCAGCAGAACAAGCTCCTTTCTCTCTCTAGCATTTCCTTCTCCACCTCTTCCTAAAGCTGACCCAGAAACAAATCCTGCTGCCTACAAAAATATCCATGCCAGTGAACCGACTGACAATAAAAATTGCTATGCTACGCCCCGACAGTACCCTCCCAATTTTAAAAATCAAAGCTATTCTAACAACAGGAACTTTATAAAAATGTATAAATAACAAACCTACGTAAAACACTGGTGTCTTAATCTAGATGAGTTAGGAAAAAGAAAAAAACCAAATAATTATAATTTTTTAACATGTGCTTGACTAAAGTGTGAATCTTCAAATTAAAAAAAAAAACTAATAATGACTGATCGTCCAGTCTGCAGATTAAACATGTGTTGTGCTATGTAACATGGTTATTTCAAACTTTAATGATGGTCATTAATGAAAGCAAATACCACCTATGATTTGGTAGATTATTTCATTAAAAAAAACAACTCTAAGTCACTATTGAAACTTAGGAATACCAAAAATACCCCCTAAAAATAAGGAAGTGCTACATTTATACATCTATACATCTTAAGCAATGATTAGAATCATATTCACAATAAATCCCTCCTTCATTTCAAAATCTATAGAGTAAAATACTAGCTAAAAGAGACAAGAGACCAAAAGGGAAAAGAATACAAAAGCTTGCCTGCTTGTCTGTGTTCAACACAAAGAACATTAAATGAAAACAACTGGCACACTGCCAAATTCCTATAGAGGCAAAGAGATTCAAATAAATTGATTTCACGCATCACACTGACCTGGGTTCAGTGTGCAGTGCTACAATCAGCTCGCAGCACCACGTGGGGTAGAGCCCATTAATGCTATCAGACCCCTCAAACACGACCGAGGAAACCTAAGAATAAATGCAGACACTCTCTACAAACAGCAATTTTACTTAAGAAAAGAACACTCTTCTTTGCTAAGAAAGATAAAAACATTGGAAGGTGCACAGCATCATCTATGAGCATTCTAAAAATCACTCTTTTAATAATACAAATGTGGCTTTTGAAACCTATGTAACTATGTAAAAACTGGTACCATCTAAGTATCTCATCCCATGATACACAGGAAATGCACGCAACTTAGCAAGAAAAGTTTCCTGCCATTTCCCCATGGTTTCCCCTTGCATCTTTTATAAAGCCAATACATTTTCTCTTAATACGCCAAGTTCTGGGCCTGTCTTAATTTTCCTGAATGGCTTATAAGCCAAGGTCCCCAGACCAGACATCAGTTCTAGTAGTCCCAGAGCCACCCAGTCCTCACAAAGGCACACACTGGAAAGGAATAACTCCAAACACCTCCTTGAGGACTCCGCCCTGTGTTTACGTGGATGTTTTAAAACACCAAGAAGGGACTGGGAGCTGCCTCAGAGGTGGAGCAGGAGCTGAGCAGAACAAGACAACACCAAAACAAAGACATCAGGTGAAACATAGCAGCATTCTGCCCTTACCAGCTTCTACTCAAGCTGGCTGCACGCTCCCGGGAATCACTGCCTGGGCAGAAGCAGGCTTGCCTACAGGTGATCATCTCCTGCTTCAAAGGGCCACACGGACCAGACTCTCTGGCGCCCCCTCAGGCAATTCTCACTCACAGCACCGACTTTCCCCCTGATACTTCTATGATTTTTCAGCTTCCAAATTAATGAGTTTCAAGTGATGTTTTTGTTCTTTTCTATTCTTGGGTCAACTTGATCCTGAATCCCATATTTATAAAACTCATTACTATTATAAGGAGGGAAAAATAACTAGAGATCATGTATAATGTGACATAAAAGGAAAACCCAATTATAAAATAAGCCAGTATAAATATTGTTTATGCACACATTTTTAAAGTATGTACACATATGCATACTCATACACACAGAGGTAAGGAGAGAGGTAGAAGCAGCTCAACATGGTATTTGTGATATATAGTGCTAAAGATCCCGCATTTGCAAATTCTAATTAACACACATTGAGCTGCATTAAGATGTGTGTCTTACCATGCCTATTTTTCTCACAGTATGGATCCTCCACCCTGCAGCAGTTCACTACATCAGGCCACAGATACTACATCCCACATGACTAGAAGAAAATATAGATGCAATGGGATGGTGGTGGATATAGACGACTACATATCTACAATACACATGCAAGCTTAAAATCCAATATCCTTTTCAATTTTTAACCTGCCTCTTAGATATTTTTATTCTGTAATATCGACCCCCACACAGAGAGATAAGGCAGAAAGCAGAGTTACATTTTGTTTTGACTGGGAATTTTTGTTGATTGTTTTTTGAGCTGTGCTGCATGAGCTGGCAACAAACTCTCCTCTGTCCCCTAAGTAGCTGGGATTACAAGTGTGTACCACCACCCCTACTCATATTCTGTTTTGAAAAGGCTATTTTTCTCTTGCTGCAAGATGATAAAAATCAACCCAAAACTGTAAAATAGGGATGGTCATCACTACTGGTTTGTTTACCTTCAGATATGATCTTAACACCTATTCTTTTCCGTATGCAAAATTTTGGAAATCTAATCTAGATGTGAATGCTCAAAACACTAATTTTTAGCAACAACAATACATAAGGTAAGAACCTAGAGACAAAGGTGGGATATGTTTCAACTATTACTACAACTGTGTTCCTTTTTTCTCTTGAATTGACATCACACACGTTAGTGTGAAGAACAGAAGAACATCACTACATGAAGGAGACATGAAAGGAATAACAGACAACAGAAACCAAATCAGGATTAAGGCCTCCCAAGGAGATGATTTTACAGAAAATTATTTACTTTTCTCTAGTCTTAAGGAAAAAAAAAAAGAATTTATTTGCTAACACCTTCCTAGGAATTTCAAGAATAATCCAGTAATTATTTATAGAAATTGCAATAGGGGTTGTGGGATGAGGGCCAGCAGCAACATTTCCAAAGCAATGATCATAGAGGATAAACGTTTTGCTACCCCTCTTTACACAAAGTCAGTCATTTACAGAACTTCAAATCCTTTCCCAATTACTAGAATGCCAACCAGTATCATACGTACAACATTGGTGTTGACTATCAACCTGGTCTTTACACAGTTTTTCCTTATTCACTCATCCTGTGGAGGAGTCCATTACTGCTAACCCTGGAACAGAGCTGGCTATGACAGCACCTCCCTGAACCCAGAATTCAGGGCAACTCTGAATTTTTACATGTTGCAGACTTTCAGAAGTCTCTTGCCAAATGACAAACACTTCATTTATATTTCAGTTTTCCTAAAGTTAGAAATCACTTTTATAAATGTGCCTATCGATATGAATTCCGCTTAGGATGTGACATTCACCTGAAAGTTGAAAAAAATAATCCAAAGAGATCAGAAGAAATAATAAATTAAAGAGCACTTTTTTTGCCTGTTTAGTCAACAAACTGTTCCAGCAAACACCATCCAGTCATTACAATAAACACAGAAACCATGGCATAGTTTTCACTCTTTAACTCCAAGTATTGCTCAGTTTATAACAGATGTATTATGAAACATGGCAAGCACAGCAACAAGAAGAGAGTGAAAAAAAAATTTCGTTACTTGATCATTTGATATCTTTAGGCCCAAAACTATCATCACCAGACTGATCCCCACCCAATGCCCACATCCAAAGATTTCAAACACAATGAGTTAAAACATAACAACATAAACCAATAACAGGCACTGTTGCATAAAGAAAAAAAAAATCTACACAATTATAATTTATTGGGAAAAAAGAATAGATTGATTTTTCTGGTAAGCTGCAAAAGCAAAATATGCGTCTGTTCCTTACCTTGACAATATTCAAAGTTCCCTTTTTTCCGGCAGTCACCTATTACTAAACTCAGTGCTCTCCAAGTGTTTCTTTTGACAGATATCATTCTCCACCAATCGCTCTGCTAATTTCCTCTCTCCTTTTCTGACTGGGACAGAGATTCTGTTCACCAGCCCAGAGATCAATCTTTTCTATTGACAACAACAAAGGGAAAAAAAATGCATATATCACAACCAGTCTGAAGTATTGTACCCATCTACTTACATGATAATACTAGGTCAGCTTTGTTTTGTTTGTTTTAGGCAACCAATATAAGCTCTTCTAAATTTTAGAAGAATTCAAAACATTCCCCATTTTCTCAGTTCCTGTAAAGATGTGCTCTAATGGACTCTTAATTTTCTAATCATCTGATCAAAGCTGGATACATTCCAAACTTGAAAACTCTTTTTAAATTGGTTTTAAAGTATATACACATCAATACTAAAAGAGAATACATTAGGTTTTACTTGTTTCAATAAAAAATTCAATGATCTGTCAGGTATTACAGTTCCTTTAGAAAATTCTTTGACCTTGTATGCTTCTGCCTCATTTTGTGGAATTCTACAAGTTAACCCTTTTCAAAACAAAGTGCTAAACATAGTATTTCACTGCTCTGAAATTTCAATATTGTCGTTACCAGATAAAATAGTTTAAGGCAACTGATAACAGTGAAGAATAACCTTCATGTAATTGATTAGTTTAAAAATCTTAGTTGAAACAATTATTGGTGAATTATTTTACTACATCAATAAATTTCTGCTTTTTCTTCCTGTAGAGAAATTCAAATTTTCTTATTTTTCCTGCTAGACTGGAGAGTTTTGAATTCATTCATCCATTTACATAACATTTATTAAGTACCTATTATTCAATTATTACTACTACTATGGTATGTCTACTACTGCCAATATGGACCCAAACAAGTGATACTATTTAATTTTTGACACCTACGAAATGTGAAGGCCTAGAGCTCGGAAATTGCAGAGGGATAAAGATTTATAAAAGCCATTTCAAAACTACTACTAAGGATGACAATATCAGTTTTTGAGACGAAGTTACTTTCTAGAAATTTACATTGATGAACAGATTCTAATGAATAGAAAACATTCAGATTCTGTTAAAAATATCAGTGTACTTTATGCATATTATGACTCTGTGATACAATCATTTGTTTCTTGTTCTTTATGCTAAAAAATTAAAAAGCATTAAGAAAAATATGGCACTCAATATTTCTTAGTTGCAAACGACATTAAGTCTCAGCAAAGACCATCGAAGATGATCAGCCAGAACTTGGAAGCATTTAAATGACCACAAAACCTCTAGACAAATGATAAAGGGCATACCCCAATTAGGAAATATCCAAGATATATAAATACAGAACACATAGGTCATGTAAATGCTCAAATATTGAGGGGAGGGCCACACAAAGGGAGAAATTGGAAGTAAATACGTCTAGATATTAAACAGAAATAAGTGTCATTTTCCTACACAATTCAGTAACATCCAATGCTCTGTACCAAGATAAAAATAATTTATAGAGGCTAAATACCGGGAAAAGAAGAAAATGGATACATTTTTAGATTCAGTCATAATCTACAATAGGTAGTATTTTGTGGTTCAGCAAGCATCAACAAAAGACATGGCAGAGGCTGATAAAAGTGGACCCCGGTCCGGTATGGACCATAGTTGATAATCTCCACCGAACAAATGAGGGAAGCAAAACAGGGATTCCCTAGGGTCTAACTACTGCTTCTTACTCCCGACTACTGATAGCAGACTAACAAAAATAGTGTGGTAAATCTCAGTTTTGAGGCCTATAAAATTACCACGTGGAAGACTTGCTTTAAAAGACAAATTTCCCAACTAGAAGTGATCCCTTGTTATAGAATACTGTATAGGGCTGGGGATTTAGCTCAGTGGCGCTGCTGCCTGTCTCACAAGCGCAAAGTCCTGAGTTCGATCCCCGTACCAAAAAAATTGAATACTGGATACTGTTTCATTTCTTAACTTCACTTAGGGTTCCATTTTAACCAAAGTATTCAGAAGTGAATAGAGAAACCTTGGCAGCAAGATAAAGTTATAAAACATTTTAAATGTATATATTAATAAATTCTTAAATATTAATACAACATGCAAATAAACATTGGAATAAAGCACAAGACAAACCTACAGTTACCCAGGAGGATGCCCTCCCTGTACCTATTTGATACAGGAAACATTACTGTATATCACAATCAACAGAATCCTTTACAAAGGTAATCTGTGGACTTTGGAGTATTATGCTTGTGCTGCACACATCCAACACATTAAATATCTAACACCTCCAATATGAAATAATAATGAGTCAGGGTAATGAGCACTATGAAATATACGTTCAGATACTTGGGATACCTATTCCATACTAAAGTTTGCATCACATGCAAATGACAGTAACATTTATCTTTATTCTTTTGTTTGGATCCTCCACCCTCAAATTTATAAGACACCATCATGAGGGAAACATACACTGAGAAAAGTTTAAAAGCTAAGTTCCAGCGAGAACAGAATGCCTCAATTTGTAGTTCTACAAGAGTGTTATTAAAAAAGGCTCAACATGTTGTATTACCATGGAAATTGTGGAAAACATACATTCCCAAACAAATATTACTTTTTCTCAATGGTATGAAGTAATGAAAACCACATGTGTAAATCTGCGATCCGTGTAGTAGTTCAAGCTGCAGCTAATAGAAAATACAGAAAGTGAACTCTGCTATATAAAGGATTCTTGTTACAGAAATATAATGTGAAAACCAGATGCCGACAGAAAACCTTAATCACAGATGGGAATGTAATCACTGGCATACAGAATACTTTTTTGATCAATCTTAACCATATGCGCAATGTATTTATTTTCTAAGGAATGCAATAACTTCAGAGAACCTTCTATTTGAATTCAGTTAACCTCATATTTATAATGCTTTTATCTTACTCCCCAACTCTTCGATGTGTACACCGATTCAAAGTTTTAAAGGAAGAGTTGCTGGCCCGGCAAATAGTTCTTGTATCAGTTTATCTTTCAAAAATTTAATAGGATGTAAAGACTACACACATCAGAACAAACCTCCAAAGAGATCAAATGCAGTTCCCCATTACTGTATTTCTCAATCACTGCCAGGAATCCTGCCTAGAGAATCCTATCAATTTTTGGGGCAGTTTTCCTTTAGTAAACAATATACAGTTACTCCAAAAGTGAGCACTTAATACATACTTTTTATTATCCTGAATTGGATCAAAGTTTGACTCCTTTTTTCTTTCTCTTTATAGAAACTTTTTCTAGTGTCAAGGCCATTTGTTTCAATTAATAAAAACACAATTAGTATTACCAGCAAAGGAACATCACATCCTATCATCACATCCTATCAGACTTAGAAAACAGGGCCTTCAGGTCATCCATGGCACTGGGCATGACCTACCTTTATCAAAGCTTCAGGAGCTTACAGAAGGCACTTCTCGCACCTCCCCCACCATTTGAAGCAGTAGCAGACAGAACATCCCATGTACCTCACTTCAGAACTACAGACCACAGCCAATTTCCAATAGGAAGTAGCTAGGGTTGTGTTTTGGGGGAGACCCTCACATGTCTCGTGGACAGATCATCAATATCTGAGTCTCACAACCTTCTCCAAGCATCTGTGACACACATTCATTCAGATTTCCCTCCTCACATCTAACTACTCATCTCCTGGATATGCACATGGAAACACACAGCCCACTTTTTGCCCTGTTCTGATTTTCAAGAGCCCTCCTAAATTGCTACTAATCTGGTTTTGAGCCTCTGCTTCTAACTGTGTCCTCACGGAGTGTAGCTCTTCCCAGGAGATCAGTGCCCCCCATCTCAACCTTTCTGTCACCAGGAATCTGCCCACAGACTGTGCATAGCTGGCGCCTTCTCACCACTCAGGTGAGAAGAGTCAAGAATCACTTTCTCATTAAGTTGGGTTGGTGGCACACACCTGTAATCCCAACACTAGGAGGATCATCATGAGTGCAAGGCCAGCCTGGGGTACATAGTGAGCCCAAGGACAGTCTGAACTACACAGTTTTCAAAAAACAGAAACAGAAAAAGAGAGAGGGAGAATCATCTTCTCAGAGTTGATTTTCCCAGCTACGCAAAAGAGTCTCACCATGGAGGCCCTCATCATTCTAAGAATTTCTTAATTGTCTTCATTGCACTTAATACTACATGGAGGACAAATCATATTGGTTTCTTTATATCTGTCTCCCTCCACACCTCCAAACAGTAATCTCCATGAGGTCAACATTTTTGTCTGTTTTTCTCATTAATCTACCCTACCCTCTAGCCTTAGCACATGGTAGCATTCCAAATAAACAGAATCAAACAAACAAATCCCACCTAATAAAATCCAACAATGGTCCAATTCACTCCTATGATTTCAAAAACCTTTCCCGGACTACTTGTAGGGCCTACGATCCTTTTCTCAACTTTAAATTCTCATAGCTTTGCTGGTCTATACAGGCCTGGGAACCCTTTTCCTGCCAGATCTTCTTCAGGAGCCTATTCCCTTTGATTCTGGACAGACACAGACACACGCCAGTATGGGAACCCTCAGGGTCCCTTCCTCCCACTGAAGGGCAGCATACTGTGACTGAGAACTGTACCTCTAAGGTATATGCAACACACGCTAGTAGGTTTTATGTACAGGCTTTTCTCTCAACTGAGTCTGCTGGCTATTGTAGGAAAAAGAGCCCATCTTACAGTTTCACACCTCCAGACCCTACACTGATGTGCTGCCAGAGCTACAAAGGACACCCACAGCCTAGCACAGTGCCCAACACACAGGTGTTCACTTAATGCTGGCCAAGTAAGCAAGGGATAAATGGTCATTAAATGCTCTCTGGTCTTTATTCAAGCCCTTCCTTCTTGTTATGAAGAGGCATTTTTTCAAAATCCTACAACTATTATTTTGAAAGAACAAATTAACCAGAAGGCAAGTGGCCAACCCAGGATCTGTTCAGTCAAACCAACAATACGACACGGAGTTAACAAACCATGCAACTTCAAATGCAGAAAGCTCTTAAATATTTCCTCTACTGCAGAAGTAACAACTTTCGAGAAATAAAATGAAAGCTGGCAGGGCGTCGTGGTGCACACCTG